CCTGTAATCCAAGCACTCTGGGAGGCCAAGGCGGGAGGATCGCTTGAGCTTAGGAGTTCAAGACCAGCCTGAGTAAGAGCGAGACCCTGTCGCCACTAATATAATAGAAAGAAATTAGCTGGACAACTAAAAAAAAAAAATATATATATATATGTGTGTGTGTGTGTGTGTATATATATATATATATATAAAGCTGGGCATGGTGGCACATGCCTGTAGTCCCGGTTACCTGAGAGGCTGAAGTAGGAGGATCACTTGAGCCCAGGAGTTTGAAGTTGCTGTGAGCTAGGCTGACGCCATGGCACTCTAGCCCAAAAAAAAAAAAACAAAACAAAAAAACCTCACAAAACAATTACAAGGCAAAGAAAAACCAAGGAAAAATAATTTGAAAATAAGTGCCACACAACAGTCTTCCTGTGGTTGAAAGACTATTCTTAGTTCTACTGTGAAATCTGTATATCTTTGGGCCTCTGGACTCATATTTATTGCTTTTGTATACCGTAGGAAATTCAAGACTAGTAAATGCACACAAATTTACAAAACTGAAACATATTATCACATAGGGCGCTTGTCAAGTTTGCTAAAATTCAATGTAGTGCCTGCCAGAGTAAGGTCTTAACTGATGTTGGATGTGGTGTTGCATGGTAGAAAAGAACTTTAGAATAAGGCAATGATTTCAAGGGCTTTGCATGAGCCATTATTTTTCTCTCATTTAATTTAAATATGTATATACTTATTTTAACTGTGTAATTACCTGCAATCATATTTGCCTTAGGACACTTGCCCAAAAACAAAAAAATAGGGATGAGAATCTCTACTATTAATAATTTCCCTCCTTCCTTTGTAAAATCAATTGAGTAAATTATTCTGATAATATTTTGTTATTTAAGAATGATTGTTACTAATTTATCTTTTAGTGATATTTCATACAGATGCCCCAGATAAGGAATCAACAATGACCAGATCAACAGGGAAAGTGCTAAATTTAACAAATCTTACTTTTTGTCAGTGATTAAAGATTTTAGACTTAGCCTTGGATAATAAAATTAGTTAATTATAAATTCAAATGAATTTTTTGTTTAAAATGTCAATTTAATATTGATCAAAGTTGCCTGAAATCTTCAGGAAAAAAATAAATAACTTCAGTTAAGTTTCAAACAAGTTTGATTATATCCTGTTTGTAATCTTGTGCTTCTGTTTTCACTCTGATTCAGTATGCTGCATGGACTAAAAAAAAAATTCAGGTGGATTGTGGCCATTTTTCCCCTCCCTCAAGTTTTATTTGATTGTTCTTCCAGAAACTATTTTAAGTTTGCAGAGTTGTGTCTGGATCAAGCAGTTTGATTAGAGGAATTTGAACCATTTAAATAATGAAAGAGCTTACTTTGAATTATCACAGCTGATATCAAGTCTATGCCTAATGACATGAGCAATGTGGACACTGTAATGTCTTTGAGGTTTATGTTCACAAATTCACCACCTAAAGAAGTGATCTACCCATTTATCAATATCTGAGATGAAGAATGAGTAAAAGCCATGCAAGAATCTTCCAGAAAGTTGAATTTATCTTGGAATTCTTTAGAGAAACAATTCTCAGAGGTGAACTTGAGGAAAGTTTTCCTATAATTTTCTGAAATCAAATTTGGCTACGGCTTGTGGAGAATTATTCAAAAATAAGTGTGTTTCAAGATACTCATGTATTTTGGGTATTTGAAGAGTAAGTATTCCTGTGGACGCTAAAACACTTTGAAGATGGTGTTGGTTCAGCAGGAATCCAAGATTCAAGGCTCCTCGGTTAAACAAGAGGTGTTGAGAGCTTCAAGGGGCCCATCTCCTAAGCCTGCAGCACTGTGAAATTCACCTTTGACTTTACTCTTTGGAAAGATATTTCCTATTGAATTTATTGCCTTTCCCACCTCAACATAAAAACTGACATTACACAGTAGGCTGATAATCCTGAATCCTTCATGTTGATTTTCCAGAACAGTATTTCTTTCAACTGCTCAGAAGCTAGATTTCTCCACGAAAGAATCACAACAAAACCACTTCCTTTCTGTACGATAAACCTCATGGTTTCAAATCCAAGGCGAGAGAGCCCGCCAACACAACACACACTGCCTGGAAGAGTTTCCTCTTTGCTCTACAAATAGATATTTGCAAAAGTTGACATTCTGGGACACTGACTTCTAACACAAGAGTGATGTCCCCAAATGTGAACTATAAAGACAGAGCACGATTTATTGATACATTTTGTCAAAAAAGAGAGCAAGCCAAATTTAAATTATTTTTCAAACTCACTGATTTTAGCCACTTGTGCAGCAGTCCCCAACCTTTTTGGCACCAGGGACATTTTCATGGAATACAACTTTTCCATAGACTGGGGATGGGGGGGGATAGTTTGGGGATAATTTAAATGCATTAATTACATTTATTGTGTACTTTATTGCTATTATTACACTGTAATATATAATGAAATAATTATATAACGTACCATAATGCAGAATGTAAATGCAGCCACTGATCTGGCAGGAGGCGGAGCTCAGGCGGTGATCTGAGGGATGGGGAGCTGGCTATAAATGCAGATGAAGCTTCACTCCCTCACCTGCTGTTCACCTCCAGCTATCCAGCCTGGTTCATAACAGGCCACAGACCAGTCAGCACAGCCCACCCCTGTCTATACACCTCTGTCTACACTATAAAGTACAATTTCTATAAAACCTGGCTGAGATTTAGATGTGGACCTGGATGTGACTATAAATATTATGCAATAATTAGTGTAAAAATTCAGGCTGGTGTTGGCCACGTATGAATACATCATCTCAGAGGTGGGGAAGTTCAAAGAGCGTTTCTTTGAAGAGTTCCTCTAAGGTGGCAGTGAAATGAGTGTCTAGCACCCTTCTATTTTTTACAGACCACAAAAGAGTGATTTTTTTTTCTATAAAGGCTATTATTGAGACAACTGGAAAAATATAAGATGTGAAGATTATATATTAATATTGAATCAATTTTAATTTCCTGTTTTTGATAATTATACTAGTTACGTAAAAAAATCCATTTTTAGGAAATACACATTAAAGTATTTAGAAATACAGAGGCATAATGTCTGTAACTTATAAACACCTCAGGAAAAACAATCTATGTTATGTGCCTATTTATAGTTGTCTAGAAACAGAGGAGGAGAAGGGGGAGAAAGCAATTGTAGTAACATGTTAACATTTCAGCAATGGCACCCAGAAATTCTTGTACTAGTCTTATAATTTTTCTATAAGTCTCAAATTGTCAAAATAGAACATTTCTAAAAAGAAAAATAAATGTTTAAAAATATTAACAAATTATAACCCATTGAATAAAATAAATCATAAATCTATACTGATACAAGTAAATGAATAAATTGAAGGTTTGATGAAGAACAGAGATATTTACATAGTCTCAGCTTACCTCTCAAGGAGATACTAATTAATTACAAGGTGAAAAAGTAATTACAGAGGAGAAACCCGGTAGACACCACCATCAGTGACCAATGCTAACGTCACCAATGCTACATTAAAACTGTAGATCACAGGATGGGATGCAATGAGAAGATCACAGGATCATGGCTGTGATACTCTTGCCAAGAAATGTATGGTCCAGATCTAATCATAAGAGAACATCAGATAAACTCAATTGAGGGGACATTCTATAATACATTACTGGACTTTAATCTTCAAAAGATTCAAGGTCATGAAGGTCAAGGAAAGACTGAGGAACTGTTCCAGACTGAGTAGAGTCCTAAGAATTGACAGCTAAATGCCGCCATGGATTTGGAATGGGATCCTTTTGCTATAAGGGACATTATAAAGAATTAATAAAGCTTAACAAGAATATGAGAATTAAATGGTAGACCGTATTAACGTTAACTGTCTGATCATAAGGTTGTATTGTAGTTATTATAGAATTTCTGACTTGTAGGAACACCCATGAAAGAAATCAGGATGATGGTATATCAGCCAATTCACTCTCAAATGTTGGTGAGAAAAGTTCTTTTTACTAAAACTTAGAATTTTTCTCTCATTTTAAGGCTGTTTCCAAAATTAATCAAAAATAAATAAATAAATAGAAAACAAACAAACAAAAGGTGAAAAGCCTTAAGCAAGCCTTATTTTTATATGAGGAAAGATCTTATATAAATCAGTGCTTAAAATTAAAATTATGTAAGTTTGACGGCACTTTAACAATATACATTTAACACATTCACAATGACTACAGTGCCAGTACAACAAAATAATGTCCATGTAAATATCACTATATCAAATGATGAAATTAATAAAATACAAATAACCATCGATTAATGCGCACTGAAGTAATTAATGAACAACTGGTTATTTGGCTATTTAAACAGCTGACATTTGGACAGTTTGAGTATGTAAACTATCTAATATTGATTTTCATTTAAAGAAGATCCATTTAAAAGTTAGCTAAACAGGCCAAGAAACATTGTTTAAAACACTGTAATAGGGCTGGACGTGGGTGGCTGACCGCTGTAATTCTAGCTAGCACTCTGGAGGCTGAGGCAGGCGATTGCTCGAGGTCAGGAGTTCGAAACCAGCCTAAGCAAGAGCGAGACCCTGTCTCTACTATAAAAGAAATAAATTGGCCAACTAATATATATATATGAAAAATTAGCCGGCATGGTGGCGCATGCTGTAGTCCCAGCTACTTGGGAGGCTGAGGCAGGAGGATCGCTTGACGCCAGGAGTTTGAGGTTGCTGTGAGCTAGGCTGATGCCATGGTACGTCACTCTAGCCTGGGCAACAAAGTGAGACTCTTGTCTCAAAAAAAAAAAAAAAAAAACACTATTATAAATTTTCATCAGACATATATGATACAAAATATTTTCCTTTAATAAGATTTCTATGTTTATACAGTAAATAAAAAACAATTAAAATGTCATATAAACAGACCAGTAAAAAATTTATCTTTTAGATCATATAATTTTCTTTAAATCTGTACATATTCCCGTGATGCTTTCAAACTAGATCTTGATTTAGATTGGATTCGTCAGTAGATCTATAGGAGAAGCTATATAGGATTCAGTTTCCAATTCAGCAGCAGCTGAAAAGGAAAAAGAGAGAATTAGATCTTTATCTATTTCACAAATAATGAAGTGAAAGTCAGTAAAAAGGAGTTGAGAACTTTATCAGCGTTAGTAAGAATGAAAATACGTATGCACAACTACAATACAAAATACTATTAAATATAATGTGCCCATATTGTAACACTGAGTTAATTATCATTGTGGTTAAGACACCATGACAGGTATACAGCGGGCACTACTGGAGCACACTGAAGGGCCCATCCTATCCCAGTTTTGTGTCCATATTGTAGGCTTTTTTGGTGAGTATCTAGGTTGATACCTAGAGGACAAGGAACAAGTGTGCAGATGAGGGAAGAAGCAAGTGCAAAGAGCTGGAGGTGAGGAGGACACTGGGAACTCTGAACAGTCCAGTCGGCCAGATGCCAGAGCAAAGGGCAGAATACAGTCAGTGGCAGGAGACAAGGCTGAGTAACTGGACAATAACGAAACTGACATGGGTGTTTTTATCCCATGCTAAGGAATCTAGAACTTTTCCCTGGGGGGAAAGTAAACCAAAGACAAAGTAAATGACTGGAGATTTGTCAAGTGACTGCTTATCAACTGTACTTGCTCACTAAATATTACTAGATAGTCTGGGTCTTCTGGCCTTAAATCACTACATAAACCTGAGAAACTGATGATGCGCTTTGCTGAACACAGTGTCGGGTGGCTGGCTGACAGCTCCACAGCGATGGCAGAAGGGAAGAAAGTGCAGAGCAGAAATGAAGAGAAGCATAGGCTTCTTGAGAGTTTTTTAAACTATGAAACATGAGGAATTAAGAGCATAAGTACTCCTCATGAGTTTATGTTTTCACATCCTTCATAAGATGTAAGAAAAAATATTTAACGTAGTATCTATTTACCAAACAATGAAAAAAAGGGATGTCATTTGCTACTCACAGTTTATTTGAGAAATAAATTAATCTAAATTTAAATCATATATTTTGGCAACATACCTTCTTCTAGTTCTCTAGTTATGTTTTTTTCCAACTCCTGCTGCATCTGAAATACATCAAATATTATTTGTATATGTTTTAAGTTAAACAAAGATATTATGAGGAATGATATATCACTTACAAAATGTAACTTTTAATACATGGAGACTAGAACTTGAGGATTGCTTAAATAGGAAATAATCACATAAATAAATTCTTGGCTGTGGGTGTGGCTCACACCTGTAATCCTAGCACTCTGGAAAGCCGAGGCAGGCAGATTGCTCGAGGTCAGGAGTTCGAAACCAGCCTGAGCAAGAGCGAGACCCCATCTCTACTATAAATAGAAAGAAATTAATTGGCCAACTAATATATATAGAAAAAATTAGCCGCATGGTGGGATGCCCTGTAGTCCCAGCTACTTGGGAGGCTGAGGCAGTAGGATCGCTTGAGCCAGGAGTCTGAGGTTTCTGTGAGCTAGGTTGATGCCATGGCACTCATTCTAGCCTAGGCAACAAAGTGAGACTCTGTCTCAAAAAAAAAAAAGTTCTTACTTATTTTAACTTTAGATAATAGAGAACACATATGTATAATGCTGTTTATATTAATCTGATAAAAAGTACAATTAATATTGATCTATTGAATATATATTATTTCAGAAGGGATATTTCCTCTTATTAGTACAAATATTAAACAATTCATGTTTTGCAATGAACGTCATTACTTAGCAAAACTCTGCCCTTTATAAAAGTTTAATCAGTTTTTTCACTTTAATGGATTTTTTCCTTAAAATTAGCTTTTCATTCTCTACTTTTATAATATGAATATTTTAAAGCATGTACTATGCTATTAACTTTTCAGCACAGAATCTTAAATATATACATGCAGGATATGCCACTGTCATAATGTCATGTGAAAATTCTACTGGCAGAAAAGTAAAAATATGATGCTATCTGTATTATGATTAACATTTCTTTATTCATATGGACACAAATACTTCAGAAGGTTTACTTGAAAAAAAGGATTAATGTAGGTTAGAGCCAGTTTTTAAACTTAGTTTCTTTGATTCATGACTTTCTAGAATTAGAAGCAAGGAAAACAATATATAGCTCTTTAATTCTAACTTTGGTTTTGTTTCAGAAATTAGTACCAATTATTTGAAACATCTCATTATAGTTATCTACCTATCACAGGTGTAATCCTGCCTCAAACTGCTGGGCTTACTGATCCTCCTACCTCGGCCTCCCTAGGTAGCTGGGACTACAAATACATGCCACTATACCCAGCTTTTAAAACTTTCCCCCAGTGAAAAAACTGTCAAATGTTAGACAAATATCTTAAACTGGGTCAAGAAGAGTTGAATTATTTTTTCCGTACCAACTCTGCAACTGATACAGGTTGTCACTGTTGGATTCATTTTGAGATCTCCAGAAATGGATTCTTACTATGAGTGAAATCACATGGTTGGATTGGAAGGTGCCTATTACATCTCCAGGGGAGACAGGGACCATCTGTGGCTTGACATGGAATTCTGGGTAGAAAGAATATAACTGATTCTATTTGATACTACTTGCTATTTAATCATGCTTGATATCATTGCCATCTTAGTCATAAATCATTCAAGTGATGACAAGATAGACATAAATGAACTTCATTTTAAAAATTTAAACATCTGCTTGATTTAACTATTTAAAATCTGCTGTACAATTGCCCAGCAATAGACACAGTTTATAAAAATTGAGATAAAAATGGTGTAAGTACAACAGCAATTAAGGAGTACTCTTATGTAAGAAAATGACAAAACTTTTAACTTAAAAAGAAACATTAACTTCTTTAGTGTTACAGGTTTATTTAATTCATAATAAGTATTTAAGGCTGGGCGTAGAAGCTCACAGCTGTAATCCTAACATTTTGAGGAAGCCGAGGCGGGAAGATAGCTTGAGGCTATCTTGAACGACTAGCCTGAGTAAGAGCAAGACCTCATCTCCAAACACACACAAAAAATAGAACAGTTAGCTGGGCATGGTGGTGTGCACCTGTGTTCCCAGCCACTCGGAATGCTGAGGAAGGAGGATGGCTTGGGCCCAGGAGTTGGAGGATGCAGTGGGCCGTGATGACACCACAGTATTCTAATCTGGGCAACAGAGCAAGACCCTGCCTCAAAAAAACAAAAAAAAGTATTTATCTTGGATTTCTTTAAATAATAAACATTCAGATGTGTTTATTACTTAATTTAAAATTTTAAATTTGGATGGTGCTTTGATGATCTCCTTAAGTGTCTGGATGCCAATCATTCAACTTATGAATAGGGGTAGAAAACTTGAGATAGTGCAGGAAAATTTTTAACGTGTTATGAACGACAGCCAAACTAAAATGAATTAAAAATTAAGTCAAAGTATTTCAAAGTATGCCTTTAGTTATTAGCAATAATATTTGATTTCCAATAACTTAAATGCAGCTTTTAAAGAAATTTAAAATGTGTCCATTTTGTTACATTTATTGAATAAAGTTAACAAATGGGTATCTCTTGAAAATGATTGCTGTAGGGACTTACAGAAAACTATAAAACTTCTGTTTCGTTTATTAACACAGATAATTACGACCTTTACTTAACATGCATAAGTAAATTAAACAACTCAGTATTTTACCAAATTAAAAACAAAAATTATACTAGAAACATGAAACTCAAAGGAAGAAAGATAACATAACTAACCTTGGTCAAGTAGTTCTCCATGCTGTTATTTGAAGTCCGTGGGCTTGAGGTAGGGATCACTAAGTTTTCTTTTGGAATAAGTTTTCTGTTGAGAACTAAACTATTACTAAGATTTCCAACACAAGGTGACTCTAGGACTGGCCTCGTGGCAAGAGTAGTGAATAAAGATCTGGTCTGCTGTTTCTCCACAAGCAGTTTGGTACTGACCTCTGCTAGCTTCTCATTAGTTCTATGAAGATTACAAGAGACAAATGCTTAGTATTTCATGTTTCTCTAAATGATTCCTAAATGACTTGCATTTTTTAAAAGTTTCCATAAAAGTAAACAAAATTTTCCACTAAGTCGTTTTTTTAAATACTGAAAATGTATCACAGCATACCTACTATGTGCAATTATAGTTTAAAAACCATTCTAAAGAAGGACCTATATTTCTAGGGGCATTTCTAACAAACAAAGTAATTCAAACAAAGTGGGAAGAGGAGAAAAATGGCTATCAATGATGTATGATTAACAGGTAATACCTGTTGCCTTCTGGATGGGTCTACTTCTGACATTCTTAAGGATGCCATTAGAAATACTCAGGATTATCTATGTGTGATGATTAATATGTTAATTTGCTTGACTATAACAACCATTTCACTACATTTAAATATATCAAAACATCATGTTATACTCCTTAAGTATATATAATAAAAAATTTTTAAAAACTAAAAATACTTTTATTTAGTAAACCAGTTCAGAGATTTTTTAAAAAAAAAACATCCCTCAAAGACATTTTCATCACCCTTGTACATTTCACCCATTATCTGGGAAAAATTAGGCATTTGGCACTGAGAATCAATTCAGAGCAACAACTTCTAGGGGGGAGAACGAGATAGCTGAGATGGTGATAAAAAAAAAAAAAAAAAAGAACTAAAAAGCAGCTCCAAAGGTAATTAGCTCCTAACACTGCTACTCAAGCATCAGAGGTGGGATCTGCCATTTCTATTTTCCACACATCCCCTCAGCCTGTCCAAGGTATTATGTTTAACAACTTTGTCAATTATAAGTCCCTTCATCCCTACCTTAATCATTCCCTATTTTACAAGTGTGACTTTATGTTGAGTGGAAACACTATAAAGGATAGTTTGTCTCAAGGGGCTCTCTAGTGACAATACCAAAGATCACAATCAAGGAAAGTTATTTACCAAGTGCCAGAACCTGCTGAGAGTACTATAGTGGTACTTGACTCTTTGGGTCTAAGTTGTAATCTTCAAGAAATAGTTAAACTCGGGCCGGGTGCGGTGGCTCACACCTGTAATCCTAGCTCTCTGGGAGGCCGAGGTGGGCGGATTGCTCAAGGTCAGGAGTTCGAAACCAGCCTGAGCAAGAGCGAGACCCCGTCTCTACTATAAATAGAAAGAAATTAATTGGCCAACTAATATATATATACAAAAAATTAGCCGGGCATGGTGGCGAATGCCTGTAGTCCCAGCTACTTGGGAGGCTGAGGCAGGAGGATTGCTTGAGCCAGGAGTTTGAGGTTGCTGTGAGCTAGACTGACGCCACGGCACTCACTCTAGCCTGGGCAATAAAGTGAGACTCTGTCTCAAAAAAAAAAAAAAAAAAAAAGAAATAGTTAAACTCATTAATATTTCCATTTAGGGGAATGCTACAACAATATCACTGTTAAAACTATAAAGCTTCGGCAGGGCGTGGTGGCTCACACCTGTAATCCTAGCACTCTGGGAGGCCGAGGTGGGTGGATAGTTTCAGCTCATGAGTTCAAGACCAGCCTGAGCAAGACTGAGACCCCATCTCTACTAAAAATAGAAAATTAATTGGCCAACTAAAAAAATATATATAAAAAAATTGGCAGGGCATGGTGGCACATGTCCATAGTCCCAGCTACTCGGGAGGCTGAGGCAGGAGGATTGCTTGAGCCCAGGAGTTTGAGGTTGCTGTGAGCGAGGCTGACACCACGCCACTCTAGCCTGGGAAACAGAGTGAGGCTCTGTAATTAATTAATAATTAATAAAACTATAAAGCTTCAAAAATCTCTAGCTAAAATATTAATAGATCAGGCTAACTACATGAGACTATTAAGGCGGGGAGGAACATATAAAACGAAGAAAATGGGGAAAGATGAAAAACTGTCCCAGACTAACAGTTTAAAGGTAAGTTCATTTACTAGCATCATTTTCCAAATTATATTACCTAGTTAGGTTGCCTTTCCCAACAGTCTCATGAATCTGTCTCACTAAAAATGAGGCTTTCAAGGCAAATTAATGAGCTTAATTTATTTTGTCTGATTCTATGTTTTGACTTACTTGCTTAGTTTGGTTGCCAACGATTTTCTAAATTTCAATTCTTCTAGATAGAGTTGCTTGTATTTTTCCAACTCCATTTTATTAAAGTCTTCTTGAGAAGTTTTCATTTTGGACAGTTCAGATTCTAGATCTTTAATTCTGAGTTCCATCTGACTTCTTATTGAAGCAATATGATTCTCCCTTAACTGCTCTAAGTTTTCTTGAGATGCTGCTTGTGTCTTAAACAAATTAAAAGGATATATTTTTAAAGTAACTATAACCTGAATTTGTATATTTGTTTCCTTTAGTTTTGAGACAGTGATTCAAAGAACAATTTTAGGTGAAAAAAGAAGTTTAAAATATTTATCAATATCAAGTAAATTGTTAATTTAATCCACCATTAAATCTGAATTATAAAGAAATTTGAATCATTCATGTTAGTACTCATGTAACCTGATAATTCAAAGCTTAACAGAATCAATTTAAAATTTTACAAAATGAAGAATGTAACTTAAGAACATTCAAGAGTACACTATAATATCTAAATCGCAATTTTTTCTTTTCCTAATAGTCTTGTTTTATGTCGACCGGTCTTAATAATCAAATGATTCTCTAATGATAATCATTATTCTTAAAGATCAATTTAGCAATAATGATGGAAACTGAAATATTTAAATGGAGAAACAGCTGCCAACTTCCTTCTAAAAATCTACAAAACAAATTGCTATAAGTAGAGGAAACACAACGTGCACATCGAAAATATAATTTACAGTGAAATGAGTGAAAGCACATTACAGATAAACTAACCTGTAAAAATAAATTGACTTCTTTTAATTTTTCTACTATATCCTGTCTTGCTCTTTCTTCAATCTCCCGTTTATACTGTTCTACTTGACCAAGTTCTACCATATTCATTTCTATATGACTTTTGAGGTTTACTACTTCTTGTTCCAACTTTGTTTTATTCTTCTGTAGTTTTTCACATTTCTTCTGTATTGTTTTCATAGATAATAATTCCTGTCGAAGAGTTTGATTCTTTGTATCCAGATGCAGACATTTTGAAGATGCAGTTTCCAGTTCTGCTGTAAGATCATCAATCTGCATGAATAAAATAATACAGTTTGGTAATGAAGGAAGTAGGCTGAGAACAGTCTAACACAAAACCAATAACAAATTTAGAAATATATTCAGTTGCAATAAAATGTTATCTATACTATAACAGATTCTTCAAATGTGGACCCTTAAATTTCTCAGAAAATAAAAACAAGGTTAAATCTACCAAGAGTCACAAAAATATATTCTTTACCTTTCATTATTTTTGCCACCAACATTTGTACTTGATCTTAGACTTTTATTTTGCTATGATTATTTCATGTCTTTCCTCCTTAAAATGTCTCTAAGTCACCTCTTAGTAAAACGTCTCTTACCCCTTACTCCCATCATGACTGCCCATAACTTCTAAAGTTTTTTTTTTTTTTTTCCCTTATTTTTTTTTTTTTTTTTGATCAGAAACTGTTACCTGCATACTTCTAAAGTTTTAAGGATATCCTATTCAGTTATTTAGGCCTGAGACAATACATGGCTTCCAGAGTAAGACTCTGAAAAGAAGACTCTAATTAATGAAGCCTATAAATATGGATTATAAAGCCATAAGCCTTTTCCTGAATTGCAAATGTTTTATGCTAATTTGAATTCCATTCCAAGAAATGACGATTCTCAAGGTTATGGAGCAATCATGTGTTCCAGTATAGAAGTTTAGTGACATGATCCATACTTTAAAAAAAAAAAAACAGAGTGCCTAATTCAATAGCACTATCTTGTAGTCCTTTGCTATTTTACACAAAATAAGGGAACACACCAAACAACAACAAAAACGTGTTGAAATTTCAATGGGGCCCAGTTGGAAAGAACTACTTTTTTTTAGAAGTAATGATTGTTTGATTTTTTTAACAAGTGAGTGTGGTAGTGGTTTTAAAACATGTCTATGAATTGACATTTTTCCCATGAAATTCCCTCTCCTGAATATGAGCTGGCCTTAATAATTGGTTTCTACTGAATACAACATGGTGGAACTGCTGTGTGACTTCTAAAGCTAGGTTAGATCACATCAGAAAATGATACAGCTTCCACCTGACTTTCTCTCTCTAGGGAAGCTTGCCCTTAGAATCTAGCCACCATAGTGGTAGGACGGCCGAGCCACATGGTAAATCCTCATGCAGGTGTTCCAGCTGACTGCCCCAGCTAGAGTCCCAGCCAAAAGCCAGCTTCAACTGCAAACATGGGATTCCAGTTCCCAGTTTCTAGTCACCCCAGCAGAGAAAAATGAGCTGGCCCCACTGAGACCTGCTTAAAATGCAGACTGTAAACAAAAGAAATGTTGTTGCGAGACTGAACTTTATAGAGCAATGGATAACTGGTACAGATACTAACATTAATATGGGGTGCCACCATTAAAAGAAATCTAAACATGTAGGATGCCCTTTTTCCAGGAGGTTGATGAAAGCTGAAAGGAACTAGAAGGAGAAGAATGAAAATCAAGGCTTGCAGCTATAATACTAGCACTCTTGGAGGCCAATGCAGAAATATTGCTCGAGCTCAGGAGTTCAAGACCACCTTGAGCACGAGTGAGACTCCATGTCTACTAAAAATGGAAAATTAGTTGGGCGTTGTGGCACGCGCCTGTAGTCCCAGCTACATGGGAGGCTGAGGCAGGAGGATCACTTGAGCCCAGGATTTTGAGTTTACTGTGAGCTATGATGACACCACTGCACTCTTCCCAGGGCAACAGAGCAACACTCTGTTTAAAAAAAAAAAAAAAAAAAAACAGAATGAAAATCAAAAGGGCTTCAAAGAGACTGTTACTAGAAGCCTGATGGCCCTAGAAGATGCCAACAGGAAGAGTCTCAAGGCCAGAAAATGACATTGAAACTTCATCAAAATGAAAATGATATTAGAGGAAAGGGCACTGTTGCTACATAGCAGCTGAAAGCAAAGTCAATGTGAAAGACAAGCTCAAGAAAGACTATTAAATATAAAGGAAGCAGGACTTCCTGGTTTCAAATATCTGTTTTTACCATTTGTAGCTTCCTCATGTCAAACTGCCAAATGCAGGTGGTCCCTGACATAACAACTTTTCAACTTTACAATGCCACAAATGCTGAGTGCACTCCTTGACTTACAAGGGGATTAAGTCTGGACAAGCCAATCATATATTAAAAATATTGTAAGTTAAAAACACGCTTCTGGCTGGGCCCAGAGGCTCACACCTGTAATCTTAGCACTCTGGGAGGCTGAGGCAGGAGGACTGTTTGAGCTCGGGAGTTTGAGACCAGCCTGAGCAAGAGTGAGGAGACCCCATCTCTACTAAAAAAAGAAATTAGCTGGACAGAAATTATCTGGACAACTAAAAATATATAGAAAAAATTAGCCGGGCCTGGTTGGCACATGCCTGTAGTCCAGCTACTTGGGAGGCTGAGGCAGAGGGATTGCTTGAGCCCAGGAGTTTGAGGTTGCTGTGAGCGAGTCTGACGCCACAGCACTCTAGCCTAGGCAACAGAGTGAGACTCTGTCTAAAAAAAAAAAAACAAAACAAAAAACAAACAAAACAAACAAAAAAAAATACACTTCCAACTTCCAACATTTTCACCTCTGATGGTTTATCAGGACTTAACCCCACTGTAAGTCGAGTAGCATCTGTATTACTAAAATCAATGGCCTCTGAGAAAAAATCAAATTCAGAGTGCTGCCAGGAAAATATGTTCTAAAGAGGAAGCCAAGACCATGACTGTAAAATACTTTGTTAAGACCTCAGAAAGATTTACCATGGTGCCTCAAATTCCCTTAAGGATTTTAAGAGTATAAGAGTCTTTTTTTTTAATTAAATGTTTTTAATTAAACGTTTTGGTCTTGCTATGTTGCCCAGGCTGATTATTCTTTGATGTTGTTAGTGTTCCCTGTTTACTGTTTATACTTTATATGTAAACTGATGTGCTAGAGTGTCTCATACTTTTTAATAGCCACATTAGATTTTACTATACCATTGTGTAAATGTATCATTTATTTTTATTTTTTATCTTTAAATTTTTTTTAGAGGCAGTCTCCCTCAGTCACCCAGGCTAGAGTGCAGTGGCATGTTCATAGCTCACTGTGGCCTCGAACTCCTGAGCTGAAGCAATACTTCTGCCTCACCATCCTGAGTAGCTGAGACTACAGCCATGTGCCACCATGCCCTGCTGATTTTTCTTATTTTTTGTAGAAGCAGTTTCTCGCTATGTTTCCCAGGCTGGTCTCAAACTCCTGGCCTCAAGCAAGCCTCCTGCCTCAGCTTCCCAAAGTGCTGGGATTACAGGTGTGAGCCACACTGCACCTGGCCCTGGCATAAGAATCTTTTTTTTTTTTTTTTTTAGACAGAATCTCGCTTTGTTGCCCAGGCTAGAGTGAGTGCTGTGGCGTCAGCCTAGCTCACACCAACCTCAAACTCCTGGGCTCAGGCAATCCTACTGCCTCAGCCTCCTGAGTGGCTGGGACTACAGGCATGCACCACCATGCCCGGCTAATTTTTTCTATATATATTAGTTGGCCAATTAATTTCTTCCTATTTATAGTAGAGACAGGGTCTCGCTCTTGCTCAGGCTGGTTTCGAACTCCTGACCTCGAGCAATCTGCCCGCCTCGGCCTCTCAGAGTGTTAGGATTACAGGTGTGAGCCACCACGCCCGGCCTGGTATAAGAATCTTAAAGGCACTGTCCTAGTACAGCTTCACAGGAAGCCCAAAGTGAAGAGCTTATCTCAAAAAGACTTCTGAAAGAAGCTTTTCTAATGACGTAAACCCCAGTAAAATTCACAAGAGACTCAAAGTTTTTAAGAGAATTGTAGTAGCAATAACACTGCTTGCTAGCTTAGACTAAAATAGTAAAAATGAAAAGAGGCCTTTGGTCCTCAGAAGTTCTACAGGGAGGAAGCAGCCTGAGAAAACGACTTAGCTGCACACCCAGGTGATTGCTTATGAACAGACAGAACAAAGAGCCCAGAGGACATGGTGAAGAGCCGCAGAGAGTGATTCCCATGTTTAATAAGTCCTAAGTGTTCAGTAAGTGTTTAAGTCGTGTTTAATAAGTAATAAGTGTTTAAGTCGTAATCAAAGAAGTAGAAGCAGGCTTCTAGATTTCAGTTTCTTGATAAACAACAACAACAAAAAAGAGGCCAGCATCAGGCTGTACTTCAAAACTAATAAGAGTTAGCGCCTCCCGTGCGCCTCCCATTTTCCCTCTGTTCAATGTGAGAGTCTTCGGCAGTTCAGGAGAATGTTGGGCGCGTGGGTGGTAGGCAACTGGGCCCTCTAGTTCTTAAGTCTTCGTATTAAAAGGAATTGTATTCAAGGGCCTATACTCTAGAAACCACAACCCAGGTAAATCATTTCCATCTAGACCTGATAAAAGTGGTAAGATCCTGCACTTCAAGCCTGAGTCTGATGCCATAATAACTGAGGTACTGGGGTACTAGGTAGGAATAAGTACATTTTTGAAGTGGGAGGAATATTTTTAAAAGGGTAGCCTAAGTGTAGATTGTGCTGGTTAAAATATATCTGTAATTTTTTATAATTCATCCCATAGATAGAAATGCCAATGATTGGTGGCACCAATCACTCACCTCCTTCACAAAGAAGGACCAAAACAGTGAGTAGATAACTATAGCTTGAATAAAGCATCTAAGAGAGATCACTCGAATTCAGCAGGGAAGTGACAGGGACGCTCTGAGGCACAGAAGGAAAGGGAAGCAAAGCAGCTGGCTCACCCAGGGTCAGCTCCGAGTCAGGACAGATTCTCCATTATGAGGAAAAGGCAGGCAAGAGATCCCCAGTGGTCCACATTCCCACCACAGACACCTGCAATCCTAGCCCACCCCTCACATCCCCTGCGCCTAGTACAGGGAGCTGCCTGGAGCCCACATAACCGAATTGGTCCAGAGAGGGAACTGCATCATGGTGCCATTAGAAGAGCCTAGCCCCCAGACTACATCCTGTACTGAGCCCCAACAGCCTATGCATCTCCACATCCCTGAGACCCTGCTGACATCTACCCACCCCTGCCCCCATATACCTAGAGGGTACAGCACTGTCCAGCTGCTGACCACTGGTCCAGCAGGTCAGCTGGACCTGGTGGTATGGCTGGATCCCTAGCACTCTATCCCACACAGCAGGCTACATCCCTGGGAATA